TTGTACTTTTTTAACATTTTGAGCTTCTTCATTTCTTCGTTGAATAATTAGAAAAGTTTTTTTTTTAAAGGTTGTGTGACAGCGATGTTAGCGTTTTGTAACGAAGATGGCATAATTAATCAGAAAACAGCACTTGTTGCGATTGGAGGCAGATTTCGAGTAGCACTGGAAGATCGTGTTGGGGAATGGGAAACTTCTGAGGTGAGTGCAACCTTCACTGTTTATCAAAGATCCAGGAAATACACATGGCAGAGAATTGGCTTCTTTTTTGGTGTGAATTTTATGAATATGATATGATTATGCAAAAGGCATACTTCAGCTGTATTTTTCGGATAAAACAGCTTTTTTCTCAGCTTGCAGGTCTTCTCTTCTGCATTTACCTTGTTTTTTTTTTACACAAAAAAAAAAAACCGTTTCCTTTAGCCTTTTTGGCCTTGTTTTGTGCTGGTATGTCCATACATAAGGGGCTAGTGAGAGTAGCGCCATACGCGGTTAAAAAGCAGCCAGTATGAAAGCCAGTTTCTCTACGATTCGTCGATAAATTGATATCGGCTTGCCTAACTTTCGTTTTTTTTTCGGCCAGCACTCGGAAGAGGGTTTCCCATCGGTAGTGCTTTCATTGAATAGCTGCTTTGGCACGGTGTTGTTTCTTGCTTTGCTTAGAACTGTCTGAACATTTTATAGATGCTACTGGTTTTATTTTCCTTTCAGGACGTGGGTCGTTTTCTACTCCGTAATTGTGTGGCAATTCATCTGGATAAAAATGAAGACAAATTTTTCTTATTGGCATATATGGCGCAGAAATTATTGGCTCTAGTGAAGGGGGAATGCGCCAGCGAATCACCAGACAATCCACAGTTCCAAGAGGCCAGTGTCTCGGGACATATTCTTCTGCTGATCATTCGTGAGCGTTTGGAAAATATTTTGGGAGCTGCACGAAAGAAAATCGATTTCGAAGCAAAGAGAAAAGCTGAGAAATATCACTTAACAAGGTTCTCACATTTTTCCTTCCTAGTTTTTATCTTTCATTTTTTGAATGGCAGTTTCGAGATCCTCAGTCACCGTGCTCTTTTGGGTTGGGATTCCACTTTTTGGTTTTTTTCAGCCATGAGCTCATCCGCGCAATTGGCACTCATCGCTCGGGTGAAATCACTCGAGGTCTCGAATTCTTCCTTGCCACAGGAAATCTCATTACAAGGAACGGTTTGACTCTCCAGCAGAACAATGGATTTTCGGTTATTGCAGAAAGAATCAACCAACTTCGATTCGTTTCCCATTTCAGGTTAATTTTATCACTATACTTACTTGGTATTTGTTCCAAGATGTGTTAAATGCGCTTCCTTCATTTTTGGCATATTTCGGTATTTGAAAGACCAAATTCTGATCATCGAATGAGCGTGCTCTTTGGAAAACGAACTGACGCAACTGTTTATACTGAACTAGTACAATACTTTTAATTAATAAAAATTTATGCAATTTTAGTGAATGGTTTAATTTGAATCTGTTTCTAATTTAGAGCAATACATCGGGGAGCGTTTTTCATGGAGATGCGCACCACAGACGTGCGTAAATTGCGCCCGGAAGCTTGGGGCTTTATATGCCCAGTGCATACACCGGATGGTGCTCCGTGCGGTCTGTTGAATCACGTCACAGCTAGTACACGCATTGTTGCGCATTATTCAGACACAACTGAACTGGTAAAATTGATTGGGGAGCTGGGCATGGTCGGTCATTCCGCGATTACTCTATTACCAACAGAACCGGTAAATATTGCCTTTTTAGCTTTTTTATGAATCACAAAACCGATTTTCATTTTCCCGGAATGCGACAAGATCCAAAATAAAATGTCTTCCTTTTCAGTCAGTCCGCTCCTCATCCCTCCTCCCGGTCCCCGCTTACTCATCTTTGCTCCCAACCCACCATCTGAGGGGATAGGGGGAGGGGGGGGGGGAAGTACCACAGTCATTGCAGCTTGGCTCACAAGTTTTACTACTTGCTTTAAATTCCCATTTTTAAAAGGTTTACAGTTTGGGTGTCTAAGGTTACAAAAAAAGCCAATACGACATTCCTCCTTTTCCCTGACAGTTTTCTGAGCATCGATCGTCTCAAGAAGACGTTGCTATTTCTGCAGTTGTGTATATCTGCGGAAATTTCTTTCGCTTATTTCCTTCGCGTATTTTTTGAGAGTGTAGAAATAAGTGAAGGAAATGAACTCATTTTATATGCCATCTTTCGTGTCTGGAAACTGAGACGGCAGCGCTCACTCGAATGTGTAGCAGTTCATTGCTGCAGGATCTCCTTGCTACTTCTTATGCGTTTTGTGTTGTGTAACAGTAGTGCAGAACACATATTGTCACGGGGTTATCTGTGTGTGTGTGTGTGTCCCATATTTTGTCCCGCACTTTCAACTGAAAACCACAAAAGCTAGACGGCTGAAATTTTTGTATAGTGTCCTCCACCAACGTGTGACATGGCAAATTTAGATTCATCCTCCCCGTATCCGGGGCTATCACGTACGGTCCCGTAAAAGTTTTGGCGAGGAGAATTATTGTCTCGGGAACTACGAAAGCTGGGAAACTGAAGTTTTGTGGATTCGTCCTCTGCCCACGTGCGTTCCAGAGAACATAAAGCTAACCTTCTCGTGCCTGCGGGTAACACATACGGCCTCGTAAAAGTTTTGGCGGGTAAAATCGTTATCTAGGAAACCGCGGAAGCTAGGGAGCTGAAATTTTATGGGTATACCCCTTGACCACGTGCAACCCAGAAAATTTAAATTCAGTTTTCCTGTACACTTGGGCATTGCGTGCGGCCCCGTGAAAGTTTTGGTGGAAAGTTACCTCGGGAAACATGAAAGCTAGGAAGCTAAAATTTCAGGACAATATTTTCTGCCGCTGAGTTATTTTACAAACTCAAATTTGGCTTCCAAGTATGCAAAGATCTTACTTAAGACCACGTGAGAATTTTGGTGTGATATTCACTAGCCCGGAAGCCGAACAACTGGGAGGTTGAAATTTGGAAGGATGTTCCCCATCCATTTTTTCAAATTCAGCTTTCTTGTACCGGCGCGTGAAATTTCCAGTGGAAAATTCCTCACCTTAGAAGCCAGACAGCATATCTACTATTTTTCCGTATACGAAAGTATAAAACAGTTATATTTGTAGTAAGCAAACGTCTGCTGGACGGAAATAAGCAAAACGCATGATCGTACGGGCTATCCTGGTGCGCTTTTTCTATTTATTAAGAAATGATGCGTGGAGAGAGGGAGAGGGTGAAGTGGAGGGATTTCTAAATGAGGATTGAAATGAATTAGTTTTTCCAGCAGCTTTAATCAAACGGCGAACAGTGTTTTCGTATTTTTTTACATTTTTCGTAACTTGGGTTTTTTTTTGCATTTTTTAATATACTTTTAGATGTTCCCTGTATTTATTGATGGTAAATTTGTTGGGCACATTGCGCGTCAGCAAGCTGCTTACGCAGAACGGCAATTACGTTTCTTGAAAGTTGCAAATGATGCACGCGTACCATTCTGTGCGGAGATAACTCTCATAAAAAATTCCATCGATCCGGTGAATATTTTAACACAGTATCCTGGTCTTTACGTTTTCACGGAACCAGCACGTTTTAT